GCAGAAGTCAGGAGATCCTCCATTTTGTAGATATCTCCAACTCTGGACAGCGACAGTGATATCGGGGGCGCAGATGTGCGTTTCCAGTATAGGGGGATGCCTACTTTTGCAGCACTGAGTAGGTGCACCAAAAGAGACCTCCTGGTAACAAATCGATGAGTGCGTTTGCCATTTGTTTTGCGTGTTCCAGGTTGAAGCGCATGTCAGGTTTCTGGTGCAGGGGTTCAAAAGGCAAGAGTGGTGGGGAGGCCAAATGACAGGGTCCTCCCCTCCATATGAAGCATATGCCTTTGGCTCCACTAAGTAATGTCTGAGTCAGATATAAATATACAGGTATTTACTCTTGCATATGATGGAATTTCTTTTATCTGTCATAATTTATGTGCCGTGAGGCTCTGTTTGCTACACATTTTCTATGTGCAAGCATCACTGCCCTATTGCTCTTATGCTTGGGAAAGCCCTGATGGTGATGGGAAAGTATGGCAGTTGATGAAACAATGATTTTGGGATGGTGTGATTCCATTACTTCTGCAGGTACAGGAAAAAGGCCATCACTGAACTTTATGGATATCTACTCTTCTGCAAATTTTATGCATACATATCCTGTAAGTTACATGTTTATTGTAGATGGAGGTTGAATATGAATATATGATAACTCCAAAAAGCTACAAGGTTATAGACCCAGTGCTGAAAAAGTGTAATTGACCGTGAAATGCGTCAACATGGGACTATCAATACCAAATCATCCATGTGATGGATATGAACTTTACACAGCTGGTGATATACAGTGTATGCTATAGAATGTAAACTATTTTTATATGAACAATATAATGCTGTTTTACCTGGAATACTAGTAATAAAAAGTTGTGTATTTCTATATATGGCTAGAGTGTTCAAAGCCACAATTAAAGTCCCTAGTATTTGAGCAACAAAAGTGTTACGTTAGATAAACAGCAAAACACACAGCTAAAATACATAGATGTGATTTCTCTCATCTAACAAAAAATATGTTATTCTGTTTAGCCAGTTTTCTTAGCTATATCCCTGCCAGACATTAAACAAGGTCATGACCATTTACTTTTCTGTGCTCAGTCAAAGCAATACAGTTTAGTCAAGGTTGGGATTTTGATAATGAAGAAACAGCTGCTCACTGATCAGGTCACTTCTGTGCTCTATCCTCCTATTAGCAAGCCTCATTTCCTAGATTTACAGCACTTTGCAGCGCGAGTATGAAGGGGTTACTAAGCTTTTCCCTTTTCTCGCAGTTTAACCCTTTCGCTGCCAAGCCCCCCGGAATGCTTTAAACCTCAGCTGGCCACAACATTTTTGCAATTTTGTTTTGAATTGCTATTGTTGCATTGCTAGCTTTTGTAAAAAACAAACAAACCGTATATTTTGTGAAAGCACAGGCCCGGTAGAATGGGTAGAATAAAAAAGATGATGCTACTACTTTTATAGGTCCGGCGATAATTGTGCAAATGTTTGTCAAATCAATATTAAACAGATAACAATAAACAATTAAATTGATAAAAGCACACCAAAATCAGTAACAGTGCGCAAAAGAAAATACATGGGGGGAGGCCGCCCAGATTTTTTGTTAATATCTGTCAGCCGCTGATGACAGCTATTATTTTACAGGGGACCGTCGGAGGGGCCCTTCTGATATAAGTTCATGGTCACTTGTAGCAGAAGGCAGAAAGCCACCAAGGTATGGCATACTGGCGTGGCCAGCTGCAAGCGGTTGTGTTTCGCCGTATGCCATACGTCGGTGGCAGCGAAAGGGTTAAATACAGATGTGCCGGACACTAGTACAAAGACATATTGAGAGATTATTTAAAATTATTAACACATAAATTAAATAGAGCTTCTGTATATCTGTTAACACGTACCCATTGCGGTTTGTTGAATGGACTTCAGTCCACCAAGCACTCAAATATATTACTCCCACACAGAATAGGTGCATTTTATACTACTATAGTACAATAACAACCCTAGATTTGATCAGAAAGGTGATGCTGCAAGAGGATTACAGCTATGCTCTTCTGAGCTATGACTCATGAAGAGCAGAGGAAGGAAAGCTCCTCCTGGTGCATGCGAGCATTGTAGGAATGACTTATACATGGTTCCCAAATGTTTAATAGAGGCAGAAGAACTTTATAAACTATGAGAGGAATTTATCAAAACTGGAGCAGACAAAATCTGGAGCAGTTGTGCATGGTGACCAATCAGCTTCTCTCTTCAGTTTGTTCAGTTAAGATTTGAAAATAAAAGAGAAGCTGATTACCATGCACAACTGCTCCAGATTTTGTCTGCTCAAGTTTTGATCAATTCCCCTCAGTGTTTTTTCACAGAAAAATGTACTTCTGTTATACACACTTTGTTTTTAAATTTAGTGTGAGGTTTAAAAGTAATGTCCAGTATCACACATATTTCTGGAAAGAGGCAAACAGTCAAGGAAAAATTATTATACCCCTTAACACACTACCATATAAAAAGATGTTCCTGTTTAGAATCAGAGTTCATAACAAAGCAAGCAGAGGAGCTAGAACTTTGGTGAACACACAGGGTGTGGGGAAGAGGCTGAATGGTAGTGCCACAAACTGAAAGTGTTGGAGACCCATAGCAAAGTTAAGGAATTGCTAATGTGCTGGAAATATAAAGGCTGTGCAAGTACAAGCCCTTGATGTCTACAAAGGCCAGAATGTCTATCTGACAGAGGGAGGCTACGACAGACCTGGTGGTTTATAAGTGGAAATTTTGGGTCCAAATGAAGACATTTACAGCCTTGAGATCCATAATTCCTAGGTTGGAAAACATCCTTGAAACTTTTCTGCTACAGGTCAGGAACTGAAGTGATAACCAATTAATCCAGAACAGCTGCAAAAGCTGCATTAAGGTCCGCTAACCTGTGTGGTGGCCTTGAAAAGGTGGAAGAGAAGCGGGTTTGGTCTTTAAGGTTGACACCTGGAAGTACTGAAAACAACTCTTCTGGGCCTTGGGGGAGGGGGAGCAGAGTCTATCCAGCATGAGGCGTAGTATTCTTTCACTGGGATAGTTGAGTACTCTAACCCCAGTGACATCCTTGATTACAGTGTCCAATGCAGCTCCGAATTGATAATAATCCTCAAAAGAGCATGCGCAAAAGATGCTGTTCACAAATCTGTTCTACAGACCAGCATTTAACCCAAAAAAGTTCTCCTCATGTTTACTGATAGGAGACTCATTCATTTTTGACAGACTAACAACGCAGCCATGGAAAAACACATTGAAGAGGCGCTGGGGTTTCAATGCCTATTCCAGTGGTTTAAATGCAAGGAAATCTTTAGACAAGCTCACTGGCTCTAGTAAGGAAGCTCTCCAAGACATAAGACTCCCTCAATGGATACCTAGAAGCAACTCAAAGTATAGATTTATAGATGGGTGCCATCTACGATATTAAAGAGTCCAAAGCACCTTTAATTGATTGCTGCTAAATACCTTGTTAGAATTCTAATCCCAAAAGAAGGTTTTACGCCAGATCTAATAAAGATCCATTTGGTTATAGTTACCTTTGAGTCCATTCAAGCCCATTCTTCTAAGCCCTAATGAAGCCGGAGTGTTATAGCCCCGGAAATGCATTGGCTGGTATTACAAACAATTAAAAGGTACTTTGGACTATTTCATATTAAGGCTTGGATCCTATCTGTATGTCTATACTTTGAGAAATATCACAGCCCTGGCAGGTTGCAATGCAGGACCTGCCAGAGAAAAATAGGTTTTTGAAAGAATCTCCAAACATTTATATATAGGATCCGTAACACTAATGCATCCTTTAGAGGAATTATCAGTGCTTTACATGACTCAACAGTGGGAATGGACAATTTCTTAATAAAGGCCTCCTGAAATGAGTATTAGGCTGTAAAATGTTGAGGTGTAAAGTGTTTATCAGGACTTTCCAGTCAACATACAGGACATCTTAAAGTAGAGCGTGCACCAGAAAAGTTTTTGGTGTCTTGGGACCACTTTTAAAGTGGCATGCCTCTCATCAATAAATGCCACTGCTTGGCAGGGACAACTTCACTCAGAATACCAGGTAAAACGTTAGGTATTCAGGCAACAGCTGCTAAGAGCAGGAGAGCCTCAAATGGCTGGAGGTGACCAGGTCAGTGTGGGTGGCAGCAAAGTACTACCTCATGCTGAATGGCATTAACAAAGCACGGAGTGCATGCATATGACACAGCACTCAATTTCTCAGTGTTTTATCCCTTTGCATGAAAATCAACTGGAAAAAGGGGCATAGTAATGGAGTCCAAAAGGACCTAACAAACTAAATAGTTCCCGATACTCAGCAAACACAGCCTACTCACAAATGAGTAGTGCGGAGACAGGGCACACCAGAGGCTGTGCCATGGCTCTGAACCTGGAAAGCGTTCAGATAACATAGCACACAAACGTCTGGAAAGCACCAAAAGCAAAGCCAAGTGCCGAAGGTCACTTTCCAGTCAGACACAGAAATCATTCAGTCCATAGCAAAGACTTAATTGAAGAAAAAAAAATAAGGAATAGAACAAAATAACCAACAAAAATGAATAAACTTTTCTCAGGAGAGAAAAGACATCAATCCTTCTATGACACTAGGAAAAAACTGAGGTGTGCTGGGAAGTAGGACGGGTTATACCAGGCTTATTACTGTTTTTTTTTTGTTTGCCAATGTCCAAATCCTCCTGTAGTTGCAGTATAACCCAAATGTTTCTAAATCCGAAAAAGAAAAAAGGAAAAGGGAAAGAGAAAAAATATGGATAAAAAAAAAAAAAAAAGAAATGTTTACTGCTAAAGTTATGAAGTGGAGAAGAATCTTTAGTCAGCTTAAATACCCTATGCACGGCAATACGGCTTGGTAAGCTTTGGTCTACAGCTTACTTGAATTATGTTGCCTCACAAAGCGAAATTTAACATATATAATTTTATCAGATGAAAAAATAGCTTCATTAAAAATTAAAAACTAGAAAAAAAAGACTGACCTTTAGAGTCATTCAGATGAACAGCTCTGAGGTATGAGATACCAACAATTTTGTCAAACTCATCTAGCATATGCTTGAGGCCTTTCTCTTGCGACAAGTTGTGACCTGTGGTAAGTAGGACAGAGAAGATAATGCTGTATATTGCAGCTATGATATTAATACACAGAAGAACAGAGCAACATGGAACTAACCAGCAGCAAAAGCATGGCAGGTATCTAGACACACGCCAATTCGAGTCTGGTCTTTGATGAGGTCTATAATTCCACGCAACTCCTCAAAGCGACCACCAACTGTATTACCTTGACAGCTCATATTTTCCAGCACTGAAAAAGAGATGAAACAGTACTCAGCAGGTTACAATATGTTTCAATAATAGGCAGATGTATGTTCACCTTGAGATATAATAACAGCCTCAAATTCCTTTAGAAATGGTCCAATCTATATAAAAAACATATTACGCAAATAAAATGTCATAGGTATAAATTAATGATGCACCTGCCAGAGGCCATAACTACAGGTCCTTTTTAATTTACTTTCCCCAACACCATGTCATATTGTACGTTTCTTTTTACAATTTTAATGAAAGGCTAATGACTGATGCAGCTGTCTGATGCCATAATGACAGGTCCTCTTTATTGACAGTAATTATACACTTGACTTTGCAAGTGTGTGACCAGGCAATGTTCAGGAGTCACAGAGTGCTATCTGATATAGTGGCAGCAGATAGCTGGTCTATTTGGCAGCAGAAGTTATTAAAGTTTAAGTGTATCCTTACTGACAACTCTAGTAATGAAAGCGCGAGCCTAATTCCATTTAAAAGTTCAGTGTACATTCTCGGCATTCCTTAGTGCCGGACTGTGCACTTGGTGAGACAAACAAGACTACACTATCATGGCCACTATCATGGCCACTATCATGGCCACTATCATGGCCAGCCATCCTACTGCTTACCCACTGTGACGTCAGGCACTTGTGAGTGTGCATTGTTAATTCCATCAGCAATGAGCTCTAGGCACTGGTTTACGGGCATTTCTCCCACATGGGATCCAGGGTGGATATTATATAATGTGAGGCCCAGCTTATGGCACCGCCTTAATTCATCAATTAACATTTCACGACTCTTCTGAAGTACATCTGCAAGAAATGGAGAGGTGAGAAACACCAAAACAAAATACAGGACTCTGGAGAAATAGAGTAGAATTATACCATGTATGTACAGACTTTTATAATTTTCAATTTCTAGTAATTTTATCTACAGTATATACATTAACAGTTTTTGCAGTAGTTCATTGGGGTTTATTTTTGTTTTTTTTGGTACACTTCAGTCAAACATTCACATTCTGAATTTAAATTAACCTAAAGGATTATGCATACCTGCTGCATAGCGCTTAAAATTATCCAGACCATCCTTTTGGATGTCCCTCTGTTGTGGAAATTTTATTAGGATGTGTTTTTAGTATATTGTAATATTGTCATCATGTCTCTCAGTGTCCGGATTTCTGCGTCACGCTCGATTGGAGCGTCACCCGGATTATTCGACACTGGGGGTAAACCATGGAGTGGATATTTTCCTGTGCTAATGGCGGAGCAGTGGTTTCTTAGCAAGTGTATGGACGCCAGCCAGGGCCCCTGCGCGGTGTGCCGATTTATTGGCTTGGATGCACTTGCTTTGAGGACATAGTATTATATAAGATACATATCTGCCTTTTTGAAAGGAACGTGTGTTTGTATTTCTGATGCGTCTGATCAGTGCGCTGGTGATAGTATGGCATTGTCCCTGCAGATATGCTTCCATTCATAGGAATCATATTAACCTTATTGGGCATTGCTCACTGAGCAGTGCTGGATAAAATTCGCTCCAGTGTTAATGGGAGATTGTGTTTGTGGGTCTGGAAAGATGGCAGCTGTGCATACATGTGGCAAGGATGAGTCATGTTCTGCTCATCTGTTATCACTTCCTGTTTGACATCACTTCCTGCTGGATTCTTTTGTTGTGAGATGAATAAAAGCTGCTGTAGTGAGAGACAAAGGGGCTCTTGGAACAGAATATCTGCGATGAAAGGATCAACTTGTCTTGACTCTACAGAGGTAGAGTCAAGACAAAAGAGCGTAATACAACTGTGCTTTTAAGCGCAGCAGATTAATATGCGCAGGCAGTGTATATTAATTTCCAAAACACCTCTAACAAAATCTTTAGGAGTTCTTATTTTCTGAAATGCTTGAACTTGAATAAGTAAAAATGTAGGATGTGTCCCCTGGTTCCAAGCACAACCCTTTGCCTTGATCTAAATAATACAACCTCCCCCTCCACAGATGCGTACTTACCTGGATCCGACGTCTGTGGCCTTATTGATCACATCCTGGCCACGCCTGCACAGACTTGTCTCCCACTGTCTTCCTTCCTCTGCAGCCTCTGGATGGGATAGAAGTCTGTAATGAGCAGCTGCGGTCAGAAGAGTGAGACTTGAAGCACTGGATGTAATTTATCACCGGATGCCACAGACATTGGATCAAGGTAAGTATCTATGGAGGGGAAGGTGCGTTAGTTTAGGACAGAGCAAAGAGCCAAAAAGGGTGCACTTTGTCCTAAGTGCACATATCCTTAAAGAGAGCACCTCCAGAAAACCAGTCAGCCAGCTACTAATGCTATCCAGCAAACAATGAAACTGTACTTTGGCAAGCATGTTAGCTCAGTTTACCGGTATCTCAGGTCTCTGTAATTAACTGCACAAAAACATCCAGAAAGTACCTCACAGGATAACTGAGCATACATGTGTATAAGCAAAGCTTTTCGTCAGAGAATAGGTTTAGGTACTCACATCTCCCTACTCCGGGCCACACCAATTTCCACCCCCTCCTCACCTCCCAGCACGCTCCTGTTCACCTCTGTGCCCCCGCCCCTTGCCCTATCCACTGCACACCTCTGCATGCCTCTCACCCACATGTCCAAAGCTCAACTCTGCAAACCTCCATCCACAGCTCACCTGGGATGGGTGGAGAGATCTGTAGTAACAAACTGTACTGTAGTAACACTACAAAAAAACTGTGCTGTAGTAACAAACATTACGGGCGTTGGTGCTGTAACTTGCACTATTCATTGTTTGGCCGCATTAGCCAAACTTGGTGCAGGAACGATTTTTGGCTCATTGTGGTGTGTTGGCAGCTCATAGATATAAATGGGCTGCCTTAATGCAATGTGCAGTGGATTTACCTGGAAGAAATAACAATAGCTTGAGGATTATGGAGCCTACCAAAACTAACCCACACAAAATTTTTGGGCAGGCTGATCAATGATTTTAATTATGTTTTTTCTTTGCACTAAATTACATAATTGGACAGTAGAACACATTTATCAGTCTATTTTTCATTTATAAAACAATGCAATAAAAAGGTCAAACAATGACTTATACCTGGCTTTGGTGAGCCCAGATTCATGAGATAAGGGCTATGGGGCAGTATAAAGTGGGGATCAAACCCAAACTCTTTACAAGTTCTTCTAAATTTTTCAGCAGCACTTTCCTCTAGAGGTTTGCTGCTCCATGTCCTCTGTGATCTCAGAAACAGACCAAATGCCCTTGCACCAATGCGACCCGCCTCCAATACAGCATTCCACAGTCCTCCTGCAAAATCAATACAAGCAAATGCATTAATCTATATTAAAGTAGAACTCCTGCAGATACGCAGATAATATACATCAGGGCTCGACTGAAAATTGTGTCCTAGTGCCTGGGCTTGTGTCACTGTCCCCTGCTGCTGCCTCAGCAATCAGCTCTGCTCCCGCCCTCTTCCTCGCTGGGCGGCGCCTGCAGCATTCTGTGTTTCCCGATGCTCTACCCGC